TACTGACTGACTTGGCTTAGGCCTGGTGAGCAGTTTGCTTGACATAAGGGAAATGTTGACTTAAGTGACCTGTTATTAAGTGATGTGTTCATAAGTTGCTATGTGGGACAAAGAGATGTTTGGATCATACCATGTGTTTAAAGACAACAGACACCCAAAATGTACTGCCCAGGAGCAGTTAGCAAAGTCCACAACCCGTATGCAGAGAAAAGAGAACAGTGACATGAAAATAGCTTGGACAGGAAAAGTCCCGCCAATCAAAAAGTTCATGCATGTGTAGTGTATGAGTTATACAAGGTACTTTCTATTAATAACACACAAAGGTGATTGGAAAAGATCTAATAAATATATAATCTGGATGTGTATAATATGTAAGACATTGTAAAGGGTAGATGGAGCATCATAGGAGAAATGTATCATGAGCCGCCTATGTCCCAGGAGAAGGTAACTGGACAGTATTTCTTTCAGTATGCCTGTCATTTCTTACTTTAATACTAATTGTAATGGCAAGACATGCTTTTGGAACAAATAAGGGGTTGAACTGATCAATCTGAGTGACTTGGACCCCAAGTGAGTGGCATTCTCACCCAACAATTAAATAGATGCATAATCTAATTATGAACCAATTGTCCAGCACCATTCGCCTCCGACAGTCTAAGACGCTTATCCCAATATCCCCTCCTAGATCCCTTCTAGGTACCTTTGAACTTCCTCAGAGCCTCCAATAGCACAATAGTTTTCTGGGAGAAACCACTGACTTGCTTTTCCAGTTCAGGAGAAATCTCCTCTGGCTGCTGGAACTTCCCCTTCTCCCACCTGGAGAAAAACAAACAAACAATTTCATGTGATTATATTCCATTTAGTGACTCATTATAAGTTCTTGCTGATGAGTCGTCGCTCTAATGGGACTGGAGTTAAAATTCCTCTACTTCTGCCAGCCTCAGAGAAGGTGCAACATTCCCTTCCAAGGACCCATTAATATTCTTCAACTCTGGCCTGGAGAGACCAGCTCTGGGGATAAAGGGAATTGAGTCTCCATGGACAATTCTCTGCATGGCCTCCATGCTCTGATGGACAGCAGGTTCCCAGGTGAAGTGCTGTAGAAATCTGTCCACTAGGAACTAGACTGAGACACCAACTGTCCCTTCCCCAGGTCCTCAGATGGGGAGACTCTTGACCACTGCTGCTCTGTACTGAATGGTAATCAGGGCCCCAGCAGTGACAGGCCAATATTCCATCCCCACAATCCTGAGGCAGCCAGTCCCCACAGGGATGTGACATCTCTAGGAAATACTTTAGGTTAGTCTTCCCCACTGAATGGATAATTCCAGAGTCTTCTGAGCAAGGGTGAGAACTTCAGGATGAAGTTGATCAGAGAGATTTGTATCCAACATGTGACCTTCACCACACATTTTGTTGTAGAGCCATGGGGAGATGTGGTGCTAACTGTGACGGGGTCCCACAGGTGCAGCCTGGGACTGTGGGACCACTGCACCCCCTTAACTCTCTCCAGCCTGGACTGTCTCTCACAATGCCTTGCTAGTGACAAACAGCAAGCCCCTTATCACTCAGCACAACAGCATGAGGAGCCCCACACCCAGCTATACTGCATGAATGATCCCAGAGCCACTCATGAATCACACAGAGAAAGGCACCAGCCAAATCCCGCCCCGCAGCTCCCAGTACTGTACCTCAGGAATATCCCATCTAATTTATTAATTGGTTCACCACTTCCTCAATGGTAAGAGTATATACACCAGCCTTTGCAAAACCTGAGCAGATTTATGACACACTTCATACAAACTCACTGGTAAAGATAACCAGTAAAAGAAGTTTATTGACTACAAAAGATAGATCAAAAGTGATTGTCATATACATACAGATAAGGGTAGCATAAAATCTCTCCTGTGTAGCTGTACTGAATCTTTACCTGTAAGAGGTTAAGAAGCTCAAATAACCTGGTTGGCACCTGACCAGAAGGACCAATGGGAAAAGAAGATACTTTCAAATCTGGGGCAGGGGGAGGTTTTGTTTGTGCTCTCTTTGTTTGTTCCCTCTCTGGACGGAGAGAGAGACCAAGCAGAAACAACATCTCCTGAAAACATACCTGAAATGATTCATCTAAGATTACAAAAATTGTAAGTAAGGCAAGGAAATGCATTAGATTATCTTTTTGTTGTAGCCTGTGAATTTCCCCTATGCTAAGAAGTAGTTTTATTCCTGTTTTTTGTAAGTGTAAAACTGAGTCCAGAGGGAAGTCCTCTGTGTTTTAAGTCTTTTTATTACCCTGTAAAGTTACCTTCCATCTTGATTTTGCAGGTGTGATTCTTTTACTATTTCTTTATAATAAAGTTCTTCTTTTAAGAACCTGATTGATTTTAGTGTCCTAAAGATAAAGGGTCTGGTTTGTACTTACATTAAAAGCAATTGGTTGGTATATTATTCTCAAGCCTCCCCAGGAAAGGGGGTGAAGGGGCTTGGGGGGATATTTTTGGGGGATAGTGCTCGAAGTGACCCTTCCCTGAATTTTTATTTAAATCACTTGGTGGTGGCAGCAATACCGTCCAAGGACAAGAAATTTGTGCCTTGGGGAAGTTTTTAACCTAAGATAGTAGAATACAAGTTTAGGGGGTCTTTCATGCGGGTCCCCACATCTGTACCCCAGAGTTCAGAGTGGGGAGGGAACCCTGACAGTGATAGACAAAAAGAAAATATAAGCACGCAGTCTAAACTCTCAACCGTATTAGACTGGGCAACATCTAGATTAAGCAGTTTTTCTCACCCCACTGGATATTGCAGTTCACAGTACACAGATTTCACCCTTAAAAACTTGGCCAGTCTCCTCTGTTTGAGTCTGTTAGGAAGGAGTTAAAATTTAGCCAGCAGAAAAGACAGAAACTGCTAAAAAGCAAGCACATAGTTTTTGTTAATACATAATAACTTAGTTTAGGTTATTGGTAAGAAGGAACAAAGCTTGTGCCCATGGAAAGGGAGAGTTACACGAGGAAAGTAGGATCAGGCCCAGACAAGCAAGCAGGAATATTTCAGTAGCACAAATGGCACTAACAATTGTACACAATTGATAAGCTTATATGGTCAATGCCAGCCCAGTAACTTAGTTCTTAGAACAAAATAAACCCTCTGGTCACAGCCCACTGGATATCTGTAAGCACTCATCCCTACCCTCCCCACAGCCCGCCTCCTTCCCCCGCAAAGTAGTCATAAATGTTTGATATAATTAGGATGACCTCTATGTACGTACTCTTCTTATTTTTATCTTTGTTCAGGGTTCTCTCTTGACTTGTAACAATGTCTGTCTCTGTATGTACAAATTAATGCAAATATATTGATTTTAAAAATGTATATAATTGACCACTATAGCACCATATTTTCAAAGCTGCTTGTCAGTCTTCCCGGTACCGTAAATAAACCCCTTCAATATTGTCTGTGCTTGCCTGACTCTTAAAAAATAAAATAAAATAAAATAAATCTTTTTGCCTAACAAGTCTTAAGTCTTCTCAGTGTCTTGGTTGCTTGCAGCATAGGTGGGGGCAGGAGAAAGGCCATGCTTGGCCTCCCTGTGTTCTGTTTTATACCCTTAGCCCATGTGCTTGGAGAACACAAGTCCAGGCATGTCTCTGGTGGGCATTGCTGAGTCCCCAGGCAAGGTTGAGCAGTTGACCTGCTGTGGCCTTATGCAGGTGAGTCACTGCATTGTAGCTCCCTTGCTGGACAATGGCTGGTGTTGTCTGTTCAGTACATACCCGGGTGTTGGTTACCTCCCTTGTCATTCTATCTGGAGAGCTAGTATCTGGGCGCCTCCCAAGCCCACAGCATATTTTAGTGACAACCATACAACACATTTTCATAACTTCATATGTATTGATGATATACACAGTTAGATGGAACTATGGGTTTCAGCAGATCATAACCGTTCCCATGATACCTCACATGGCATGCTTTATACGCAATATCACAATTATATGTACATGAGGATTCTGGGGGTTACAGAGTGCTCACCCAAGGTATAGAAAGTCACACTAACATCACCACCAAGCTCTTTCCCAGCATTGTGAAGTGTGAGGCAGAGTGAGAGAGACACATACCTGCTCAAGGTGCTTCTGACATCCTAGAGGAGAGAGAGAGAGAGAATCTCAGTCCCATCTGACACACACACAGAGGGGATCTCAGGGAAGGGATTTTGCAAATATGGCGAAGAGAGGCCCTGCCCTGGCCTCAGGCCATGGATTCCCTGAGCTAATGGGGCTTTTCCATCTCTAATATCTCTGTGTCTGTAACTCTGCAAAGAACAATAGTCATTCACATGTCAGGAATGCACACGCCGAGTTACACTGAGATCTCCGACTGCTGGACCCCAGTGCTAATGATTCAGGAGCCCTCCCTTCCCCGTGTGAGGATCTGGAATGTTTCTAACCACAAGTGCCGGCTTTCAATTGTCCCTGGGGGTGCTGAACCCCAGGCCTTGCCCCGACTCACCCCTTCCCCCAATGCCATATCCCTGCCCCACCTCTTCCTGCCCTTACTCTACCCCCACCCTGCCTCTTCCTGCCCCCGCCCCCAAGCACACCCCATTCTCTATCCTCCCCCTCCCTCCCACAGTGTGCAGGAGGCACTGGGAGGGAGGGGGAGGGGTTGATCTGCGGGGCTGCTGGCATGAAGGAGGCACTGCGGGGAGAGGGGGGGAGCTGGCTGCCAGTGGGTGCTAAGCATTTGCTAATTTTTTTTCCATGGGTGCTCCAGCCCTGGGGTACCCACGGAGTCGGCATCTCTGTTTTTCACTCAGTCTCACCCGCAGGAATTCACTCGCTGGCTTTTGACATTTCCCCTCCGTCTCACCGATCAGCTCACTGAGATGGGAAATCTCCTCTGAGAGTTTACTGACATTTTCATTTTGTATCCTCTCAATCTCCTCGTCCAGCTTCTCCAACTGGGCCAGCAGGAGTCGCTCTTGTTCCTTCAAGAACTGCCGCAGTTGCTGAAATTGAGACACAATCTTCTGCCTCTCGGTTTCTGTTTGTTTCTGTATAAAAATAGAAAAAGGGCTGGTCAGGGACATGGATGGAGCTGAATGTGCAGGAGGGAGAACTTCATTGAAAATCCTGATTTCGGACATTTGACTCTACCCTATGGGTACTAGGGAGAGGATTCTCTCACACCTTCCCCTTTGGCCTTTGCATCTCTGTTTCCAAGTCTGTCATGGTCAGCATATTATGTTATTCATGGTCTCTGGGAACTCAGACCCAGAGCAGCAGGTGGCAGGACTCAGCACTACACTGACAGAGACACCAGGTGAGTTAAAAGAAACAAACATGTTAACAATGAGAGCATTGACCAGACACAGCAGACAGCACTTCACGGGTGACATTCAGTTCACCTGGGGGGATTTCTGTGAAAGCCACAAGGGCTAGACATTAACTCATTAACTGAAATGAAAGCTTAAGGCTTGTCTACACATGAATCTAACCCAGCAATCCATGATCATGGAGAAACACACACAAGTCCATGTTCACCAAGGCCACAGAGGAATCTGCCTACAATCAGACCTCCCACTGCCAGTCCCTGCTGGTTAATAACAACAGGCACCTACCAGATACTCCTGGCTTTTCCCCTCTGCAGTCACTTTCAATCCCAGCAGCTTTTCTCTCTCTTCCCTCAAAGTCTTCAAATGGGCCTGGATTCTTTCCTGAAGAAACAGAAAGGATTCAGGGGATTTTATTTGAAGGGTTGAGAAGGGTGTAGAGCTGAATGTTTTTCCATCCAAACCCCCAGATTGGTGGGTTCTAATCACTTTGTGACATCAGGACCACCAAGGAGATGAAACCTTATTAATGGAGACTGGGAGTGTGTCATATTCAGACTTGTTAGCAATTCAGGTTCAATTGTTTTTTTGTTTTTTTTTTTAATTAGAGAGAGATCTCAATTATAACCAAGCTTTATCAGAATTTATGAATTGATTAGTAGTGTAGCGCATAACAGGACTCTGGAGTCACATGGGGGTGAATCAATAAACCTGTGTTTGAGAAGGTTTAATGAACAAAGTGATACAAATCCCAAAAGCCACCAGGGTATAAATATGGGCTGGGATTTCAATCCTGAAGCCCTGGGGACTGCACTGGTTAGACAGAGCTGGTCTAAGCACCAGGGCAAACCCCATGAGACGTCGGGAGGTCATTCGTCTGGTTTGAGCTGCACAGTCCCAGTTTTGTGGAGCACTATCCCTGTCCGGTAGGGACTCGCATTGGACGTGGCTTTGTCCGGTGAAAATGAGAGAGAGGAGGAAACAGAGCTGGATTTACACATTGCGTGCCCCTAGGCGGGGTCCCCACACTGCCCCCGGTGGCTGAGCAGTTGAAGGGTCCTCGTCTTCGAGCTCCCTCTTCCTGCCTGCAAGGACTCGGAGCTCCAGGTCCCCTACTGCCCACGGTGGCCGGGAGCTGCGGAGTACCCCCACCGCCTGCAGCAGCTCAGAGCTCCTAACTCCCGCAGGAAGTAGGGGTACCACCACTTTTAACATTTAGGCACCCCACTGCCCAGCACCCCTTGCACAGCCCCCCCAAAACTTCCCATTGCCCCACACCGACCCCTCCCAGTGCTCAGCGCCCCCCCACTGCCTAGCACCCCGACCCCTTCACTGCCCAGAGCCCCGCCACAAACCATCCCAGACACCCCTGTCCCGTGCCCTGCCCCCACTCACCGGCCCTGCTGGGAGGTGACTGTGTCTGCCGGGCTGAGCGAGGAGCCCTCCAGCAGGGCTGCGTGGGGCCATCTCCCGCTCAGCTGGCTCCGCCCACTGCCGGGACCCAGGAGCAGCAATATTTCAAGTTTTAGGTGCCCCTAGAATGCTGGCGCCCCTAGGCACATGCCTACTGTGCTAATGGGAAATTCGGCCCTGGGAGGAGACTGAGGATGCATGAAGGACACCAGCGGGGGGGTACCTCTATGCAGAATGACAAAGGCAGGGTGGGTCCATGTAGGCAGGTGTGGGGATGTCCCGTATTCTGGGGATGTATCTGTGGCCACTGTAATTAGAAATGCAGATTTTTGTAAAGAACAGCTGGGGATTGCCCTAGTGCTGTCCTAAACCTTTTCAGTGGCAACGTGCTCTGGGTAGGTACCTCCCTGTCCCATTCCCTGGTAAAGATCCCAGAAGCAGTGGATTCTGGGAGATTTCCAAAGGCTGCCTGGTGGGGCTAATGGAACCACTTTGGCTGGTCCTTGCCCACATACACACTAGTACAGTTCAAACTGACACCGATCAGCACTGCCCGGCAGTTATTTGCTACAATCCAGTCTAATCCCCCTGGTATTTGGCCCAGCCCTACGCTGTCTGGAGCCCTTTTGTGGGTGGACTCAAGATGTTTGGGGTCCACCCAGTGTTTAGCCCAGTGATCTCCTCTAGTGCAGGCCGGCATCGGAGTTTAACCCCTGATGGAGCAACACAGGAGTTCAGAATCCCAGTGAGAAACCTCATCTCCCTGCTGGGCCTGGGACCTTTATCAAGGAGTCTTTCCCTCCTAATGAACAAACTTCTTCAAGGCGGGCTGATACTGAGGTGGCAGCATGGGCTAGTGGTTTGGGCCTAGCCTGGGACAGGGGAGAGCTGGGTTCTATGTCAAACTCAGTCACTGACATGCTGGGTGACCCTGGGCAACTCACTGCCCCTCTCTGTGCCTCAGTTTCCCTCACCACCCTTTGTTTGTCTTGCTTATTTAGACTGTAAACTGCTCAGGGCAGGAATTGTCCCTCACTGTGTTTTATGCATGGCCCAGATCTCATTTGTGGTGTATTAGGGCTACTGGGATGCAAATAAAGATAATAATAATAAATTCTATTAAACAAATCTGTCACAACAGCATGTACCTTCCCTTTTCCAGGATGAAGGTAACACACCCACATAGATTGGCCTGCAGCTCTTGTGATTAAACCTTACTGATCAATTAACAGCTACAATTAACAGTGGAAGGTAGTTTTGAAAAGGATTGAGAGTCTTAGAGAAAAGTTTTCCACATCAGATATCTTTAAAGACTTCATTTTTTGCCTTTCTTGTCACACTAGCAGATCATTTACTTATTATAATATCTCCCATACAGTGAAGGCTTTACAGAACTGAATGATGCATCACACCTCTGCCAGGTAACTTTCAGTGAAATTAGCCTGTAATTAAAATCCAAAATTATTACCCATTAAACTTGATAGCAATTCCCTACCTTGTACTCCTGGGCAGCCTCCTCTATGGGAACCACCGTGTGAGCGCGGTGAGCCCGGGATCTGTCGCACACCACACAGATGGGGGTTTGATCCTCTTCACAGAACAGTTTCAGAGCTTCCTGGTGTCTCTCACACACCCCATCCCCTCCTGCTCCCTTTGCTGCCTGTAAACTCAGCCGTTTGGCTATTTCTAGGACATTTGCCAGCTGCCTGTTGGGCCTGAGGTTTCTCTGTTGCACAGTTTGTCTGCACTGAGGGCAGGAGGCGGCTGTATCGGATCCCTCCCAGCACTGGCTGATGCAGACTCTGCAGAAATTGTGCCCACACTCCAGAGTGACAGGTTCTGTGAAATACTCCAGACAGACGGGACATGTAGCTTCCTCCTGGAGACTTTCCACGGGGTTCTCTGCAGCCATGGCTCCCTCTGGGCAGAGTAACAGGGTAAGTTTCAATTTCCTGAGTTCACACTATGCCCCCCCTGCAGAAGCAAGGGGGTGTTTCCCTTCCATCAACTTCCTGGAACAGACTCACTCTATTTGCTGAATTGGAAAGAGCCAACATTACTGTCCTGGAGGCTTTGGTGAAAAGTGTATCCCACTAGGGCTCTGGTCCTGCAGTCACCCCCTGTGCTGGTGGGGAGGGTCACTGGGGCTTCAGATAGACATCAGAATCCATCCCCCTGTCCTGACGAGCTTGCAGAACTGTGTGTCTAAGGAGTGATATTTAGGCTTGGGCAGAATTCATTTTATTTAATATATAATTTTGACAGATAAAATTAATATTTATTTTTAAGTATTTTTTTATATTTATCTAGTTAAATGTTCACAGTTGCACAGTTTTTATCAATTTAAATGTTCACAGTTGTGGGGATTTATGGGGGGGGGGTCAGACAATATTTTGGTCACACAATAATTATTTAATGACAGTGGAAACAGATTCAAAAAGTTGAAACTTTGTAACCATTAAACACTAATTGTCAACACCACATTTCAAAATATACTAAGTAAACATCCTTAAAACAAACTCCAATAAGTTCTCATGCCGCATTTTTCTTACTGTGCCTATTTGTAAATGTAAGTTGTTATCAGTGGAAATGCTGCATGCCTTCCCTGTCAGAGCCCTACCACCTATTTCTGAGAGAAGACCCCGCCTGCCTGTAAATTGCTCTTGTTGTCCCTACTGCTTTCCTCATTTGGAGGGAGATCCTGACTGCTCAGGCTCTGCCACTTTAAGGGTAAGAGCCTGAGAAGAAGTACAGGAAATCCACTGAACTCTGCTCTGTGAGGAAAACAAAGAAATGGGTTGGAGACAGGGAGGAAGGAGGCAGGAAGGCAAATACATGGCTGGGAATGTCAGGAACAGAAGGATCCAGCATGTCTAAGGATTTATGTCACTGAAGCAGAAAGCTCTGCAGTAAGGAATATTCAGGAAGGTTGATTCAGCAAAGCACTTACCTGCCCAGCCACTGCAGCTCAGCAGAGGCTGGGGGAGATGCGTCTCTCTCTCCCGGACCACAGCAGTCCTGGAGCTGGGCTGCCTGAGAGGCTAGTGCAGGGGTCCCCAACGTGGTGCCTGTGGGTGCCATGGCGCCCGCTAGGGTGTCTAAGTGTGCCCGCGTACTGGCCGGCAGACAAGCATCTGCCGAAATGCCGCTGACAAGCTGCATCATCTAGAGGCGTCGCCGACAAAATGCCACTGATATTTCAGCGGCGATGCCTCTGGATGACACAGCTTGTCGGTGGCATTTTGGCGGCGACGCCTATTGACGTCCGCCGCCACTGTCCTCCGTGGCTCATCGTCTGGTGCCCGCCAGACGGAAAAGGTTGGGGACCACCGGGCTAGTGGAAAGCAGGAGCTCACAAAGGATCAGGCCAGTCCCCTCCCAGTGGGAGCTTTAATTCCTGCAGAGGGAAGGTTCCTCCTCCCAGTGTAACAGGAAAATACAAACCTGTCTGCAGAGATGAGCTGGATTCCCAAAGGCCGGCTCTGGCTTGGCAGCACCTGTGTTCCAACCTGGTATCTCAGCCCCGGAGCTGGGGCTGGGAGAGAGGTGCCTCTCTCTTCCCGGGCCATGGCAGCTCAGCGGGGGTTAGGGGAGAGACGTTGCTTCCTCGCCTCGGCAGCCCTGCACACCCCAAACTCCCCGCCGTCCCTCACCCCCCCCCACATTGCCCACTATTCCAACTCCCACACCACTGCCTCACCGTCTTACATGTGCATCCTCTCTGGGGTTCAGGTGCCTAATTAGTGGAGCCACACCTGCATGGCTCCGCTAATTAGGTGTGCGGCACTTGATGCCCTCTTCTGCGGCTGCCCAGGCCTGCACCTTAGAGGGAAGGCAGATTGGTTCCCAGGTTTAGTAAAATTGGGAGTACCCAAGGGAAAATTCCCTGCAGGAACCATCCCTCTATGGATGATCAATTGCTGAGGAATTCATCAGACCCTAAGGATATCTTTGAGGATATGTGTATGACTATATTAATAACGCGTGCATGGGTATTCACAAGATTTATATATGCTTTGGTAATTATAACCTTGCTTGTGACTCTAATAAAACTTATAATGCAGATTAGACATGGCAGATGTATGTGGTCACTATCCTTGGTTTTCATGAGTTTCTAGAGACCCTACATCTGAAACGCATAGCAGAGGTGACTTTCAATCTGTTGAGCTGGAAACTGTAGCAACCAGAGCCGAACCCAGAGTGATGTAAGACAACGTCACTACATTTACTCTAAATAGAAAAGGCTACACTTCATATTCTATGACTCTGAAATTACACTTCCTAGTGTCAGTGCTTTACCTTCCTCATCAGCATTTTATTTATTAGTGTAATTAACTAATGGCAGAAAGATGTGATTACACCTTTCTGGGGCACAGACCTTTACCACGATCAAGCTCCCTTCCACCTAATCCTGAATTGAGGCGGTGCAGCCACAATTTGTAAAGGCGACCAGGAAAAGATTAAATAATGAGTTTTCTGATCATTGTTTCCTTGGGATCAATAGATATGAAAAAGGCCTTCAAGCTTTTTTATTCTTTTACTAGTTAAAAATCCTGGTCTTAAGAACACTTGGCACAAAAGCTCAGTTAGTTCAAGATTCAGCACCTCCCTCGGCACTGAGAATCTGAGGCCAGGTCTATCGTAGGAAATTAAGTCAGTAGAACTACGCCGCCCGGGGTGTGAAAAATCCGCCCCCCTGATTGACACAGTTAAACCGACCTAACCCCTGTGTAAACCTGTCAACAGGGGAGGGCTTCTTCCAGCACAGCTACCAGCTCTCGGGGAAGTGGAGACGCCTCCCGTCAGTGTCGGGAGCATCTTCACGGACATGCTACACCAGCACAGCTGTGCCGCTGCCGTGTTTGAAGTGTAGACTGGCCCTAAGAAAGCTCCCAATACACATGGTAGTTTCCCAACCAGCCACAGCAACAACAGGGGAGTGAAGGTATTTTGGGGAGAAAACTCAAGCACAATTCATTTTTTCAGGTGGAAAAAACCCTGCCAGGAAGCTGTCAGGCCTCCCCTATGTGACCTAGAGAATCACAAAAGGAAGCAGATCCCACTTATTCTCTCCCCTTCAGGTCACCTTTAAGGAAAGGCCATTTTTCAAGTACTAGACACTCGTCTCCAGCTGCAGATTTTGCTGTTTTCTCTCTAATTCTTCCATTTGGAAATAAAATCCCCACGGGCATCGCCCCTTTTCCTCTGGTTATTAATGTATGATGTAAAATCCTCTACAGGGAAAAGAACCTTGTCCCTCATGGAAACTGCCCAGCCCCAGCTGCTGTCTCCCCCAGCCAAACCCAGCTCCCCGCAATATATTCTGTGTTGTAATTGAAATAAATATATTTTAAAATGTAGAAAAAACATCCAAAAATATTTAATACATTTCAATTGGTATTCTACTGTTTAACAGTGCGATTAAAACTGTGATTAATCGTGATTAATTTAAAATTGTTTTTAATAATTTAATTTTTTTAGTTAATCACATGAGTTAACTGTGATTAATCAACAGACCTAGTTCATAACAGTGACCACCCCAGTAGAGATGAGTGCAGGATCCATCCTTTCGGACTCCTGCTCTCACTGTTGATGCTAGAGCACCAAGTGTGGCTGCGCTCTGCCGACAGAAGGACCATAGTGTGAACATGCACCAGCGATGTAATTATACCGATTTTTGATTGTCAGTGTAACTTGCATCGACAAAACGCTGTACTGTAGACAAGGCCTAACACACCTCCCAAGGATCTTTCTAGCAGCTGGAAGAAAGTATAAAAGAGGGAGAGTGACATCATCACTTGGCCTCTTCCCCCCTTCCCCCTCTCAAACACCTGGAAGAAGATCTGAAATACAAAGACTTTGAACTGGGAAAGTTTGGTCCCAGGCTGGACTGGAATTCTGTCTGTGCTTTAAGGAACTGTAACCTGCTTGTACCATCTGTTCGGGCGAGACTTTGCTGATTCAAGCTTGCTTAGTCTATTAAAGTCCAAATTTAGACTGCATTTCTATTTTTATTTCTTAGGTAACCAGCTTTGATCTCTGTGCCTGATACTTATCACTTAAAAACAATCCTTCTCTAGGTAATCAATCTTTTACTTAAACCAGTGTGTGTTTGGTTGAAGTGCTTGGAGGAATCTCAGCTCAGATTACAAGGGCTGGTGCATGTCCACTTTCCTATGAAGAAGTGGCGAAGTAAGTAATGAATTTACATGAGCCAGGCTCCTGAGCAGTGCAAGGCAGCATAATTCTGGGGTGTGAGGCAGGGGAGCTGGGGGGAATTGGCTGGAGCCTCCCTATTGATGGTTCCTGAGTGGCTGGGAGATCATTCATGTAACACAGCCTGTGTATGTGCAGTACCTGTCCAGGCTTGTAGGTTGACACCAGCATCACAGTGTGAAAGGCAGCTCCGGTTCATGGGTTTGGAGGGCTCATCACACCCACCTCCTCCTCTCAGGTGAGCCCTAAACCTCTCTTCCCTCCCCTGTCACCCATTCCCATTTATCCCCATCTGTATAATCCCCCGTCCCTTGATGCAGAGCTAAACCCCTTTCCCCCATATGCCTACTCCTCTGCCCCCAACACCCCTCTTCATCCCAGCCAGCCAGCACACGTGTATTTTTTTTCGTTTCAAAAATAGTTAGAGCAGCCTCTGAGTTATTGACTGAATTCAAATTACACGTCCCCAAATCATTGACTGGAAAAACCCGACAAAGGGATTTTAGCGATGTGCTACAGCCCTTCTTCAGCTTTCTGTCCTAGGGCCAGGGCCGGTGCAAGGACATTTTGCGCCCTAGGTGAAACTTCCACTTTCCGCACCCCTCTCCCCGGAGCATCGCTTATTATAAACTTTCAAAAATGAATACTGCATAATGTGGCATTGTTCATTATAATTAATACACGTTCGGCTTGAAAATGTATTAATTTCATTATTTAGTCTACATATTTAAT